TCTGCAAGGGCGGCTGGAAGGTAATCGAGGAACGTTCTCGCGCAGCCTCCTGACGACAGAAAAGAGTGTTCCGGGGTTGTACCCAGACGGGAAAGGCCTCGGTCCTTTGAACAGCTATTCTAATCTGCGAGGATCGCAGCGTGTCGAACTTTTCCTCGGATGAACGCTGAAGGCGTGCATGCTGGTAGGAGAAAGACCGCTGCGTCCTTGGCTGTAAAGTTTTCAAAACCAGCATCCGGGTGGCTCAAATTCTGTGACTCGTGTGAATTACGGAAATTGAACGAAAATTCGTATTTTGGATGAACATTGCGTTTGGTCTGGGTCTGCTTGGGAGGACAAGGATGCACGCCTCACTCCTGAAAATCTCAGAGCTGAACATAGGAGAACTGTGAGATTTAAAGGTCTACAAGCCGCGTGGTAGGGGGAGCAATCTGGATTATGGTTCTGGTGTTGGGAGAAAGAGTTAACTTCCCCCTCGGCTTGTTTTTTTTTGGCACAAACGCCCCCCAACTGCAATTAAGGGAGGGGCAATAAACCCCATTCGATCACTGATGGACAGCCAGTGTGGTGTAGTGGTTAAGAACAGGGGTCATTTCCTGCAGGAGCGCACAGGAGCGGAGCTCCAGCAGTAAAGAGCCCAGGGGGTGGGCACATGCAACAAGCCCCACCCCCTGATCCCAGCAGCCCTCAGTCAGAGCAAGAAGCCGCCAGGTAAGTTCCAGAGGCCCCCCCGGGGCCCCGGTCCAAAACAGTCCAGTGGCACCTTTAAGACCAAGTTTTATTCAGGTACAAGCTCTCCCTCCTCTGCGAGGGCAGATCTGCACGTTCCCCCCCACCCCCATAGCTAGCAATCCAAAACAGTCCAGTAGAGCCTGAGCGGTGGGTGTTGCCTTCTGACACACTTCCGGTGATGCCAGGGGGTGTGGCGTATGCAAATATGTTATGCTAATGAGCTCCTGCACCTCTTTTTCTACGAAATGACCCCTGGTTAAGAATGTCAGGCTAATATCTGGGAGACCTGGGTTTGAATCCCTACTCATGCCTTGAAAGCTTGCTGGGTGATCCTGGGCCAGTTGCACATTGTAAGCCTAACCTACCTCAAAGGGTTGTTGTGAGGATAAAGTGGAGGAGAGCAGAATGGTGTTAGCTGCCTTGGGTCCCCACTGGGGAGAAAGGCTGGCATAGTGGTTAAACTGTTGGACTAGGTTACTGGGAAATCCAGGTTCGAATCCCCACTTGTGCCATGGAAGCTTGCTGAGTGACCTTGGGCCAGTTGCACTCTCTCAGCCGATCCTTCCTCGCAGGGCTGTTGTGAGGATAAAAAGGAGAGTAGGCCGCTTTGGGTCCCCGTTGGGCTGAAAGGCGGGATATAAAGTAAGTAAATGAAATCCACCGCACGTACACCTTTTAAGTATAAAATCCACCGCACGTACACCCATAAGGCCTATCTATCACCTTAAAACAAAAATCGCAAGTAAGCCGTATTCGCTAGCGGATCCTACAGTTCCTCTGCAGGATTTACTAGCAAGTGGCAGTATTAGCCCAGATAGCTAAGGGTGTGATTCTGGAAGCAGGCGTCAGATATTACCAGCGTTTTGTGCTGTTGCAAAGGGCCTTTGTACGTCCTGTCAGAGATGGAAGGAAACATGCCTGATGGGTCAGGTGCGGGTGCCGGAATATCTTGTCCTTCCTGTTCTTCCAGCCAGACCTAATTGAGAACTGCTCTGCTAATCTGTAGGGA